ATTGTAAACTAACCTTACAGATTGTATATTTTCCAAATAAATGTTAAAAAAAAAAAAGAAAGATGAAACGATTTTAAAATTTGATCTTGAATTATAAAAATCAAAAATAGATTTTAAAGTGTCATTTAATACAACTTATTTTTTCTAATTTTTATTTTTTAATATAATCCTAGTAATGTTATACATTTTAACTATAAATTTGTAATATGTATAATTATATTATTATGCATACCAAATGTATACAACTCTTTGTTACTTCGAATCCGTAATATTTAATATTATGTACAAGTAAATAGTTTGACTATTATATTAGATATATAAAAATTAATGTGTGTTTGTTTTTCGACCATCAACTCAAAAACTACTGGACTGTTTTGAATAAAAGTTGTATCAAATTCCTTGAGACTCAGGAGGGTTTGTACTTTCGTTTTTTTTAACACATATACGGTAGCATTGTAGCTATTGGCTGACTCACATATAAATATAATTTGGCGAATTTTGGTTTTAAAATCGAATATTTTATTTATTTAAATAGTTGTTATTGGTTACAATAGGTAATACAATAATTTTCGGTTTTGTATTATATATTTTTTATTTAGGCTACCTAATTAAGATATTCTATAAACATTTAAATTTGAGGAATAGTTACCTATTATATATCATAGGCAAAGTGTGTGGTTGAAGTCCATATATTAAAAATATACTTAACCAATTTGGACAAAAAATAATTGAGAATATATCAACTGAAGTAAATCAGACAATATATATGTATAGATTATAATATATAGTCAGCCAATACAGTTATTTTATCTAAATCACACATATATAAATATAAATCACAGTTTTTGACCAATTGTCACCTGATTTTGAAAACATATTATTTCGGATTCTGGACCAAGAGTATTAGCATAGAAGCCACGGGTAAATATGAACAGCTATTAATAATAAAAGACAAAAAGTATTGGTGAGGATTACAAAATCATAAAATGCCCACCGATTTTTAGGATTTAAGACAATTTTAGATAATAGATGAGACCAGTTATTTACAGTTTAATTACATTTCTAAGCGTTTATTAAACTGAATATTCACAATAATGGACCGAGCTATTAACGGCTCTCCTTAGTAAACTATGAGTTTATTTATTTATTTTGTGACGATCAAATGGCAGTGCGTTTAACAATAGGTTGTTTTTAGACTTATTCAATGTCTTTGGTAACTATTATAGTTAGATATGTAATAATACCTAAGTAAGATTTTCTGATATTTAATGTTTAAACAGCAGATTGAGAAATTAATATAGTAAAATAGTTTTGGTATTTCATTTATATTAAATCCATATACATTTAATGTGAAAAATTGAATGTTTATTATTTAATCATATATTATTATTTATTACTAACAATAAGTTAATTTTGCTAAACTTTTTATTTGTTTTACACAATCTTTAATTAATTTATATTTATCTGTAACAAGCCCATAATTTAGAGTGTTAAGTATTATAATAGTCATAACAGATGAAATAAGTTTTACTATTTTTCATTATTAATTGTTAACGAAAATGTCAATTTGATTTCAATACTTATAGAACACTCACTGTAATCATGAACATCTAACTTTTGTGTTTACTTGTTTATGGTTGGTTCAATAAATATTTAAAAATATAAAATTTAATGTTATTTAAAGTAAAACTATCATAAACTAGTAGGTATATATCAATTTTACTCAAGAAATAGTACACAATTGTAAGTATAAATAAAATTGAAAATTATTTTAAATAAGGACCCTTTTTTTTAATACGCACAATATTAATGCCATTACTTATGCATATTATATGTAATAAAAAAATGTACTACCTAGTTGGTTCAGAACATAATATTATGTAAGTACGATATTATAAAATATCTGAAAAGATTTCACGTCAGATTATTTAAATAATATACCTACGGTCGAACATTGTAATATCTAGAAAAAAAAATACGTTACCCCGAAACCCAACTATTTTCGTTATTATTATTATTATTATTATTATTGGTATACCATTATAGGTGCACGTAGACATATATAACATTATGTTAGTCTAATATGATGTACACATTATATTCTCTCGTTGAATTATTTTAATGATATGGTCGTTAGGTAAAACATTTTATTCGGTTCAGATCAGATAGCGGTCTAAACTACTACTACTCTTGACAAGGGCATGACATGATTTAATTCATCCATGCAATAATGTTCTTGATAATATCAATATTATATTTAAAAGCAGCTTTGTGACCCAAGCTACAATTATTACAATAATTACTAGTCATTTTTCGTTATTTGTATTATATTTTCAAATATAGGTACCTATGCGTCCATCTCACAAAATACTCTGTTATTTGACAATCGATTGTAATTAATTACAGTTTTTAAATGTAAGAGAACTTTGGAGGGGTCGAATCGTTCATCTGTGCAGCTAATTATTTTTATGATTGGTTTTAGATAACACGAGATTATGTCACAGTTCCATAAAATCCATATTTTTTTTTATTCAGCTGGGACGAACGGAAGCATATGATATTGTATGTTGCAGTTTTTTCAACTAATCATTTTCCATTTGCTATTTCACCTCATTCGTTTGTTTTACGAACAGTCGACCTCGGCATTATTCGTACCTGTTGACGGCGCCGCGTTAATACTTAATAAAATGTCTTATTATAAACAAAGCAGTAAAAACTAGAGGGACATATTAAATAGGTGATAATTATCAAAGATTTTTCTTTCGTCGGTCTGATATAACCTAATCAACAGTTGACCAAACAACGTTTACAACGGCAATTCCACTACGGTAACCTTTTTTTTTTTTAAACAAATTACATAATAATAATATGATCGTGTTGATTTTTTTTTCGTTCAGCTTAACGTGAACAGTATAACGCATGCGCAACGGTGTTTCGCTTGGCAGCGCCATATTTTGCAAATGCGTACCGTATACGAAAATACAAAGGAATATTTATGCCTTTATATTTTATTTGTTTATTATTCGCGACGAGGGTCGTAATGTACTGCACATGATCCGTTGTGTCATCGCCAGTGGTGCGAGGATTTCGGCGGCCCCGCAGTGCATTTTTCGGACGGGCGTTCGGAAAACAAATCCCGGAAAAATTGGTCGGTGATAAATGGCGACGTGGGCGGTAGGGGAGTATGAGTGGGATGTGACGCGAGTGGTTCTTAAGACCGGTCCGGAAACACGAGCCTCGGGCTGCGATGGGTTTTCTCTCCAAACGGATGTTATTATTGTTTGGCGGTAAACAGTAAACACCACCCACACTACGTATAGTCCACCGCGCGAAGCAGCCGAGGGAAAAAATCCGGGCGGATCGTCGAGAGCGGAGAGCAGCGGACGGGACGCCACCGCCGAACAGTATGACGGCGACGGTGTGTATTATGCAAATCGCGTAAACGTTCATAAGAGCCCAGGGATTTATCGTTATCGACTGTTGGGCCCGCGGATCCGATGAGTTATGGGAGCAAGCATCTCCGCCGCGACCCCGCCGCAGGAGGACTGCCACGCCACAGCCGCTGGGCCTCCGTCCTACCTCCGTAAACGTCACGGCACCGGGATAGGACGGTTGAATTATGACTAAAAGCGTTTCGCGAAATAAATGAAAAAAAATTGAATAAAAAAAAAAAAAAAAAACCAGAAATCGAAAAAAAAATCACGACCAACGATATTACAACGCCAGCTGGGCAAACCCTCGTCGATCCTCCGTATGTTAATGTTGTACGCCAAATCGACGGTGGGAGGGGAGGAGGTGGAGAAATGTCATGAACTTTGATTTTGTAATGGATTCATCCGCAGTATGTGTATACGCGAGACAGCGAGGTACAAACAACACAACAACAAAAGGGAAAAAATTAAACAAAAAAAACCTATCCCGCGCAGTCTGCGCAGTTTCCGTTAAGCATCCGATACCTCTAAAAATAACGCAATAATACTCCAACTACTTTAGTTATTATAATTATTTGTATAAGTCCTATAGACGAATATTTTGAATAGGCAATAGAATTATGAGATACGTGAATCTTCGATAGAAAATAACAAGTCGAAATTAGTTCCGTTCATGTTCGCGAAGTGTCGAGCTATCTACTTATCATCTTATACGACGTCAAAACAAAAAAAAACTCGTAATAGGCTATAAATAACTGAAAACCAAATGAGTTCATATCGTCACATTATTATGTACTTGCTAACCTTAATAATATTGTCGCCGAGTCGTAGTGAAAACTAATTGTACTGATTTTTCGGATTTCCCAATAGCCAAGTCAACTGTTTGGTGTTCTCCGTCGATATTCGATTGTAATTGGTTATTTATTTGCACGGGTATTAATAAATATGTTTTTCACATGATAAATACTATTACAATCCACTTCTAACGCAAAACGAATTATAATAATTATGATTTTATTTTATGAGTACCGATAAATATTATTATTAAGTTTGTTTAACATTTTATTGCACTGAGGGGGACTCTCGATATTTTCGTTTTTGTCCACTTTCAGGGTTGGTGGCCGCGATTGTACATCGCTAATTTAATATGAAAAAACCCACGAGTACTATCAATTATATACGTAAGACCCGCACAGGACGACCGACGAGTAATAAACATTGCAAAACGTAATATGTTTATACGTAAACGTCCACGTACGACATACCAGTGCAATGCAGGGTCGTGTGATTCAAACGAGTCGCGTACAACTTTACATTTCTACATAATATGATAAAAAGTCATGACCGTGTAACCTTTGGAAATAAAATAAATGTTTAATATGCGCATATCGTCACGGGACGATACGAATCAATTGTTGGGCATTCAAGTCAACAGAAGTAATCAGTACATCGATTATTGTTCGGTCGATCGCCTGTCTAATGGGGAAAAAAATTGTCCTTGAAATAAAACTTCACCTTGGACCTATACATCCTAGTGAGCTATTACATCAAAATAATGAATAAACTTACCTCTCGACACATAAAATCTTAACGAAAATCTTAATGTACGGGCATTGAAATTGATTTCGACATTGCGCAGAGTGGATTAATAATTACCTGAAACACAAGCGATAATGACACGACATCAGAACAAACTAACGAAAATACAACCATAGGATGTAACGGTGGAATATTATGTAATTTTTTTAAAAAAATATTCGAGATTTCTAAACTAACATCACAAACATATTTTACTTCAAAATGATCAATTATTCGAAAATACCTAACCAATATAATATTACAAGGGCTAAAAAATACCAAAAAAGAAAATTATATATTTGGTTTAAAAAAATTAAATGTTTTATTATAATATTGTGTTTTGAAATACATATTAATAAATACAATATAACAGCACATAAGTTTACTTAAAAACTTGTGTTTATGTTTCAAAAAAATATCTTGTAAATGCTATAATAAATCGTAAAAATATTTCTTAAAGTGATGAACTTTATTAAGTAAACCATTGATAAGCAATTTCAATGATTACATATTATATCATTCCAAACATGACCTCACTTATTCATAATGAATTATTTTGGGGGGATGATTTATGTGTACACTTGGCACAAGCTCGTTTTATGAAACCAAGGATCCATAATATGGTGCTCTATATCATATAATGTGAAGTTAATATAATATCAAGAGACAGATTATAAGACACCTAAATCCTAAACGATTAAATATGAGAAACTTGTTATAACTACAATTTAAGGAAGATTCACATCGAGCAACGCAATTTTGCATACCATTGCCCATTAATATTCACGTTGTAAGAACACCATTTAGAGAAATTATTAAAATAATATAGTTGTTTAACCATTGAAAATAAAAGCATTTACAATTTTAAGTTGACTTAGTAAACATTATGTAAATAATGAAGCAAGAACTATAAACATAATGTAGTAAATATAAGTATTTTCAAAAAAAAACCATGTATAAGAGCTTCATCGACAAGGAAATATTCATGACCCCCGTGGCCTGTCTCTGAGATATTACGAAACTATTCCAAAAAATGATTTATTACATTTACTGACAGTTCTATACTTAAAAGTGTTATTTTTTTTAACCAAGATATAGTTTTGTTATAATACAAATTGCAACATTCTAATTATTTAGAAGTATTTAACAACTAACGAAAATCAACATGAACACAAAATTGTTGGTCAATATCTTCACTGCTGATACAAAGTAATAAACTGAATAATAAATAATGTTATACAATTTTTTATTCCTAAAAAATTTAAATCCAATCTGAACGTTTTTACTGCTTTGAAAACATAATATTATGATAGTTATTATATAGGTTCAAATTAATGTTTATGGATTACAATTTTAGTGAAGCTTTTTTATACTTAATGCCTACATTTAACTTTAAATACATAAAAAATTGTAATAAGACCAACGAAAAACATATTTTTTCTAGTGAATTTATAGGAACACGATCATTCGGAATTCATTTCATATTCTTATTGAATGTTCCCTAGAAAATAGTTGCATTATCTTCATCGAGGCATGTTGTAAGTATCGCTACTTTTATCTCTACAATATATTAATTTGTCATCGTAATAGATGCTGACATCAACAGTATTTGGAGGTCCATAATTTGGGATCGAGTTCACAGATTGAGACTACTCAACGGGTCTGAACAATACTCACAAAGTTTTCTTGGTGTAATTACAAGAACAATAAACAGCCAAAATTACAATATTTGAGAGTTCACTGTTGGTAAACGATTATCTTCATCAAGCTTATCATGATGTCTATAATTTATAACAACTAACTTCGTTTGTTTCAAGTACTTTTATTGTTATTAAGTTTAGCAGAGATAAATAGTTCATATGCTTGAGGTCTGTAATCTGAACTTCCTTTGATTGTAAACAGAAAAAATCGATTACATATGTATGTCAACTAAAAAAATGCAGTACAATCGTAAATAGTGAATTAAACAGTATTTCAAATAATTTACTCAAAAATATAATTTCTAATATTATTCATAATCTTATTAACATTTTTCTATGTTTTAATAAAATTATCTTCAAGATTAGTCGTGTTCGTTAAATTTTTAAATCGTATATTATGTTTATATCATGCATATTGACATTGCTTATTTGTTTCTATTTTTTTTCTGCGATGGCAATTTTAAAATCTAACATTTTCGTGTACAATAAAACTTAGTATATAATATTTAGTATTTAATTCCAAACGATAAGGACATGTAAATAGGTATAAACATTGATTATCAAATTATGATTCATTGTTCAAAATATATGACCATATCAAATAAAAAAAGAGCGGATAAGTGGAAGTCGATCTGCTGTACAGTAGGTTACAAGTGGTTCACTGGGATAGATGGTGTTAAATTCGAATTCAATGACATAAACTCATTGTAACAAAATACGGTTTCGAGCGAAAGCCTTCTGTCAGAACGTTTAATATTATAACTTAATAATTTAGTACAGTCGATGATATTATTGTGATTGAGATATTTATTTTACCGCTAAGCATTAGTTCTACATTAGATTAAATTAATCTTGCCGAAAAAATACATTTGAAAAGTCATTGTGTGTATAAAATATAATACTTTACTCTAAAAGTTTCAAGTACCCACGAATAATATTTTTAATTTACAACAAAATAACTTAAATCATCATTGTCGAACTATTATAATAGTAAATTGTTCTCTGAAAACAGTTATAAATAAAATTTAAAAAAACTTAAATCATTATTCTCGGTTATTTAATATGTAATTTCGTTCACATTTGAACATAAAACAACTATATAAAAAATAAAAAACAAAAAGTGTAATTTTTTTTAGATTTGTTGGTTACAGAATAACCTACTTACGTGACCTAACTTTGTTTTAACTTAAATTTTCTACCATTAGAAAAAAAGGTTGAACATTTTAAAAATTCATTAAGTTTTATTTATAAATTTTGAATTTCAAATTTTCGTGCCTATGTGTTTTAATATTTTTTAACTGATATTTTAACAATTTATCAGAAGTCTTGTATTAAATTTGTATTCTTTTTGACCCAAAAAATAGCATTTTATTGACATTAAATTATTATAGGAAAAAAAAATAAAAAAATAAATAGTTACATGAGAAATCAAGTGAATATATCTAATGTTGTAAAATTTTCAATTTGAAAAGCTCATAAAAATTTAATTTGACTTTCGGGTTGAATTTTTTTTTAATAAAGTTAGGCAAACTTATAAGGAGCCTTGTAATAAGCTTTTAAATCTTAAATATAAAAAAACAATTTTTAATGAATTTCTAACTCGAAATAATTTCCTAATTTCCTAATTTTTTAAGAGTTTTACTAAATTCTAAATTCAAACGCTCATAAAAAAATATTGTGGATTTAAACTCAACTTTTTTTAATTTCCACTAACAACTTACGATGAACCCTGTATAATATTTTAGGTTTTTTGACTTATCGAACATTTTTTTTATCAATGTTTGTTTAAAAAAACAAATAATATTCGAACATTTCATATACCTATAGGCTATAAATAATTGAACACGAGTCAAAATACTTTGGAGATTTCATTACGTATAAAAAATGCGGATATAAATATTCAGTAAAAATTTCATGTATCTACAATATTTTTTTAGAGTTTCATTAAAAACCAAAATTGACTTTGTCAAAAATTGGTTTTCCGTAAATATTCCCATTTTCCCTAATTTTTTGTTTGTTTTTTCTTCCGCTCTTGAAAACTATTGGAAATATTTTACTTTTGACATCCCAAAGTTCCAACTATGTTCACTTTTCTATCCGAAAATATGCTGTTAAAGGAAATCGAATACTGTCCTAAAGGTGATGACAAACAGACAAAAAAAAAAAAACACACACACACATTATTGTTAAATCAATACACACTCATGTATAACTATTAAGATGGTGTTAAAATAAAATTCTAAAAACATCAATTTAAGATGAAAAGAGATTTACCGTATTGTGTTAATAACTTATAATAGTCATTATAAAATCAGGTGTACATTTTTGATTTTCCTTTGAATTCGTAATTGTAATTTTCAATCATTAATGAAGAACTCGATTTAATGTCGATTGTAGTCAGTTTCTTAATTTTTTCTATTCGTATAAATCGAGTCTACCTATTTGGTGATTCGATCACGATGCATCATCATCGCCATCGAGCATTCGCACGTACAACGCACGGTATCAAAACTACAATATGGCGTTGACGACAGAAAATCGCGGGCAAGATATAATATTATGTCGGACTAAATTTTCCTTTTAGTTCCTCCAACGCATTCCATTATTCAACCTGACAATACCATAAACACGGACAAATGTGAATGAAGAACCGACCGGGTCACCGGATGGACCGTAATTAGTCAACTCGAAGAAACCGTACAGATTGTCGATAATCTTCGTATGGTACGACAGACGTGCGTCCTTGTATTGTGATGGAAGCGTTCTACACTCATCCCATGATCGATCACATGAAGCACAAATGAGTATAATATTTTTGATTTCGTTCATCCCCCGTAACGTTATGCGGGAATAGTGTAGGTGGTAAAATGTTAATATTATTACTCTGGAAATAATCATTGTAGTCAGGTGGGGGTCGATAAAAACGTGGACTCGAACACAGAACACGAATACTTCACTCGTGTTGTATTATAGTCGTACGTATCACTTTTTCGCGGTCGTGTTTTTACGACTGTGGACTGACGCGTGTGTTGTACAATAGTAATGCAAATATAACCGCGAGAGGGATGACGGACGGGCGGAGGGGATGAAGAACAAAATACATAAAAGAAGAACAAACGACTTGTGTATGGTTTTATCTGGAAGCTTTCCGCAAAGGCACGGTATATTGGAGATGAATGGAAATTTCCTTTTGCACGGTAGTATATATTATGATGTATAGCAGTGAGCGGAAGGATCTTTAATATTTATTACGCCACGACGGGACGCCTGTAGACCACGAATAAATCTTTGGCAGCAGATCTTTTATTCGCATCATCGTGTTGGGGTCCAAGTAAAAAAAAAAAATGAAGTACAGAAAGAAGAATATTAAAAAAATATATATATAAGTAAGGTGTAGCAACACCGTTGGATAGTGGATTCAGGACCACTGCGCATTGTCATGTAGTATAGGACGTTGTAGTCCT